CCCGGCAGCAAGGGGGATAGGGGTGAACTGGGGTGGGGGGGAGATGGGCACATGGGAGTGCAGGGAATGCAGGTTGCATTGGGGTGCAGGGCACAGGGGTGCAGGGTGCACTGGGGTGCAGAGCACATGGGATGCAGGGAGCTTGGGAGTGCAGGCACTGCTGCAGCAGCTGTGTTTGCTGTGGGGTGGAAGCATGCCTGTGCCAGTGAACAGGAGGGGTCAGGCAGCTTGCTGGGGCAGAGCTGGGCAGGGATGCAGGAGCCTGGCTACCATCAGGGTTTGCAGGGCCTCCCAGTTCCTCCAAGGGCCCAGATGCCCCTTTCTCCCCACAGCTGCTTGGTGGGGGCTGCCCAGTGCAGCAGAGGAGGGAGGCTGAGAGAGCTAGACTCCTTGCTGGTCTCTCTGCCCTTGCTCACCCCATCTCCCTCCATGCTGGGGGGGTGCTGCAGGGAGGGCAGCGTGCCCATGGGGCTGCATGCCCATGATCAAGCCTGCAAAAGTGCCGTGAGAGCCAGGTGCCTGCCCTCACCCTCCTGCTCGGCTCGTGGGCCCTCGTGCCCCCCCCAGGTGCCAGCCAGCAGTGCCCACACTCCTCCCCACCAACAGCTGCACATCGTTAGCAACTTGCTTCATCCTGCTCTTTTATCCTTGGAGGAGTTGTGTGTGTGTGTCTAGATTTGGCAAGGGACTGGCATGTGCAAGCCTGGGCTGCATGTCTGGCTTCTCACTGAGCCCGTGGGCCACTCATTTGGTCTCTGTGGCGCATCCCCCCTCTGCCCCACTGGTGCCATATCTGGCTTCAGTGGGTCTCTTCTCCCGGGGCATGCTGCAGGCCTGCCCCTCGCCTTGTGCCATGCCCACACACAGCCCGGGTGCCAGATCCCAAACTCCATCTCCAACCGACACTGCCCTCCAAACCACAGAAAGCAGCCTCCTCGCTGAGGTCAGCCTGCACAGGCGCTCAGCCGGCAAGGGGGCTCTCATGCGGAGAGCTTGCACCCCGGCATCTTTATTTAACTCGGCAATCTGCCGGCTAAGCAAGATTTCCCAGTGGGAAGAGCAGCAGCGGCTCAAATTGCTGATACTACTTCTCATTTGCAGCAGAGGTTTATTCCCCTGCCCCAGGCTGAGTGCTTGCAGCCACTCTGGGGGACGTGGTGGGGGGAGCCGGGGTGCCCTGCATGCCCTGGGGTGCAGCAGCTATTCCCCCAGCCTAGGGAGCCAGTGGGCCCAGCCAGGGCATTTTGGGGAGGAGATGGCAGACTGGGACTGCTGCTCCTCCCAGCTGGGTCCCTCTAGGCTGGGCAGCGCCGGGGCGCTTACTGGGGGCTGAGGCTGGGTGCAGGGAGCTCCCTGGGCCCAGCTTTGCAGGGTCTGTGGGAGGGATTTGCTGTCAGGCTGCGGCACCCAGGCTGTGCTGCGTCAGGCAGTGCCGGCACAGGAGCTGTGGGCAGCAGGGCTCTGCTCTGGTCTCTGACCGAACAGCACCCGGGGTGTTCCTAGCTGCACCCAGTGCCTTGCCAACAGCACCCCGGGATGGCTCTGCAGCCTCCACCTCAGGACAGCTGCACTTTGGTCTGTTTTAAGCTGGCAGATGGTTCCTGGTTTGGCAGAGCCTCCCCCTCCCCGCCCAGGTTGGGTGGGTGTTCATCTCCAGGGGTCGGTGCTCAGGGGCTGTGAAAGGCAGGGAGCAAGGGAGCATGTTGGGGGGAGCTGGGAAGCCTCTCCTGCTGATGATGGTGGAGGGGAGGCTTAGGCCAGCCCGGCTGGGCCCGGAGCCGAGGATGTACTAGTCCTGATCTCCTCCCTGGAGCTGTGGTAGTCCCCCAGCATCTCCTCACCAGCCTGGGAGCCTGCTCTGCCCCACTGCTCCTCCCTACGCCTCGAGCTGCAAAGTGCCCATGTACCCTGAGCAACTGCCTGTACTGGAGTTACTGGAGGCAGCCACAAGTGCCTCAAACCTGCCTGCACCAGGAAAGCTGGGCAGGCAGAGCCCTCACCCTGCCAGAGGTGTGGGCACGGCCTGGGGAGCTGGGCAGCAGCCCAGGAGCGGCCATCAGTCTGCCCCAGCATCACTCATCCCTCAGCAAAGGGGGCCGTGCTGGTCCTCCTTTATGGAAGGGGAAAATGAGGCACAGAGTGGGGGTGTCTCCAGGGAAATCTGCTCCATTCCTATACCTCTCTCAAATCTCTTTTCAGCCCAGGGAGTGGCAGCTCCATGCTATGGGCACATGCTCTGTGCAAATCACTGCCCTGCTTCTTCCATGGGCCCTTGCTGGCCCCTGGGGCCAGCTCCTGGGGGGCTTGTTTTGGGGAGGGGGTGGTGAGGCTGGCTGGGGGTGCACTGCGCTGCACTGTGCGGGGGGCTGCTGGGGGAGAGGTTTTTACCCGGGAGCGGGAGCGCTGCGAGGGCGTCGCGAACGTGTGCTGGCCGCTGAGCCGC